ATATAATTTTCTTATAATTCCTGATAACGTCTCTAATAATCAACGAACAATTGAAAATAATAATGTAATTTTATTTGATGTTTTAAAAAACCTTTAGATTCTAATTATCTTGCAAACTATATTACACAAATGTTTTAGTTATTTGGATGATTTATAGTCTAGATGACATTACTATACAATTTTTGTACTTCCCTCTCAAAAATAGATTCAGTTCCTTTTGAACTAAAATATCCTAAGAATGAAAAAAATTAATTAATTTCTCTTTTTCAATATTAATATTAGATGTTGCCTAACCTTGCATTTAGTAAGCATTTGAGAAAGTTAATAATTATTGATTTCCAATGTTTACAACATTATCTTTATAGCCCTGAAAATTTGTTTCTTATTTATTATTCAACCATGTTTAATTATTTTATGGATGAATTTAATTCAACTTTTATTGAGTCAAATTAAGCTGCATAATTAGTACTCTATAATTAAAATTGATTCAAATCAAATTTGTCAGATTCATAACTTTATATAAACTATTTTAAATAGACTTTGATTGGATCATTCATATGTTCTGAATTTTAATTTTAAGTTTCAACTTAATTCACAAGTTCTTAAGCCACATATTTAAGAGTTTCTAATGCAATGGCTTTTTCATTTTATAATTTATTAGATAATTCATAATTATTTAATATTAATAATGCCAATCTTTGTGAATTCCAGATGATAAATTTAATTATAAAATAACTTTGTTATTACTTAAAATAACTATTGGATTATTAGGATCATTCTAAAAATATTCATGGATAGCTTTTCTTGAATATAATAAATTAATCAAGTTTTATATATCTTCATATACATAGTATTCGATAAGCGCTTTCTCTTATTATTATTTTTGTCTATACATTTACGTCTGCTAATTTGAGTATTAATATGTTTTGCTCATAAAAATGATTAATTATTTGATTCAAATCACTTAAGTTTCCTATTAAAAATTGGTAAATAGAATAAAAATTAAATACTATTACATAAAAATAGAATATAAATCAAAAATGATATTTCTTGATAAAGTTATAAATCATAATGAAAGTGAATTTTGAATTAAGCCGTAAAATTAAAACCATTATGTTAAAAGTACCTTCTCTCCACTTTTGAATAAATAAATAATTATCTTGAAAATGCTATAATAAAATAAGAAAGAATTTATTTTTATTCACTTAAATACATTATTTGATACTTAATTAGAGATGATATATAAAGGTATTATGTACTTTTTGATTGTTTAATAGATTCTGATATTTAAGTATAATGTATAATAATATTCTATTATTATCATTGTTATTTCTCTATTTTACTTTGAAAGAATTAAATTAGTGTTTGTTTAATGATGCTTCACTAAGGTAATTGTACTTATAACTTCAATATCAAGTTCAAAGGTAATCAGTATAATGTCATTAATATTTGTAGAAAATCAAATTATAATCTGAATAAAAAACAAAACAAATATTAACATCCGAATTAAATTATGTGGGATTTGTCAAATCGTTTTATTTTCATATTGATCCAAGTAAATTTAGTCCTTATTAAAAGAAAGATGTATGGTTTAAATTATATAATTCTCGATGAAATACAGTAAAACAATTTATAATATTTTATATTAAGATTTAATAAATCATTAAAATAACAAATGAAGAATTTTCAATTTCATTATACTGATTTATATGATGAAGTTAAATTATAATATTAGCTAGTTATTTTAAATTGATTAAAGTAGAATCCATATATTTTTATGAAAAAAACTTAGCATCAATAAATCGTATAATAAAAATAAATTTAAAATTCTATTGTGTGATGTAAAAAAGTGATTCTCATCAA